TTCCTTGGGGGCTGGTGCCTAGAGCCGGCCCTGCCAGCTGCAGTTACACGCAGGCTCTCTGACCAGCCCCTGCGTGGGCAGGCTACTCCCAGCTCCTCCGGCACACCCCTCCTCTGGAGCCTAAACCCGAAATTACACCGTCTTGCACTGCACAGTGCAAGCTCATAAAATTCGCCCCCTCCCTCAATGTGGAGAGGAATATGCAACAGCCTTTGCCCCTGAGTTACGATTCCCGCACACTTCACTCCAACGCCCTCGTTTAGATAAAGCAAAATCAAGTTTATTAACTAGAAAAGATCGATTTTAAATGATTATAAGGGATAGCGAGCAAAGGAGATTACCCAGCAAATAAACAAAAAATGCAAACTAAGTTTAAGATACTAGAAAGACAGGATATGAACTAAGAGATTCTCGCCCTGATGGATGATCCAGGCCGGCTGCAAATCCTTAAGGGACAAGCTGCCCTCGCTGACAGCTTGGAACCCCCGGGTGCTCCATACACAGACTAGAAATCCCTTTAGCCTGGGGCCAGCACTTCCCCCCGGTCAGTCTTTGTTCCTCGGGGGTTTCCAGGGGTCTCTTTGGGTGGGGAGAGAAGAACCCCAGGTGACGTCACTCCCCACTTCATACAGCTGTAGCATCTGGCGGGAGCCCTTTGTTCCAAAGCCTGGTTCCCAGACCGGGTTGTGGGAAAATACTGACACCCCAAGATGGAGGCTGGAGTCATGTGGTCTCATCGCATGTCCCTGTCGCGTCACAGCAGCGTCACTCACAGGCTGTGTGTGGGGTTCTCAGGGAGGCTCCCCAGGTGGGAGATGAGCTTCTCCTAAGGCCTGTTGTTCTTTCCTAATGGCCCATTGCCCTGAACAGGCCATTCCCCACCCGCTATCTAGACTGAAAACATCGTGTCCAGTGGGCGTTCCTCAAGTGTAACGACATTTGAAATACAGACACATGGTCAGTATTCGTAACTTCACATACAAAAATGCTCCACGCACACACCTAGGATAATGGTATTCAGCAAATCCTCACTTTTCCAATGACACGGCACGTGCCTGAACTTGGATAAAATACACCAAAACGATGCCAGACTCGTATCACCATCATATCACTGAAGAATATGGGGGGCAGTGTCACACTCGGCCTTGCTTAGCTGGGGACCCGAGATGCCAGGCCAAGGGGACCCGGCCCAATCTCCCGCCCCAGGCGCATGTGGAACGGCTCACACACCTGCCCCATTCAGGCCCTGTCATGGCTCGTACCCCTGCCCCATCTGCACCCCCCCCACACCCTGGCTCAGGCCTCCCCTGTCTGTGCCCAACCTGGCAGCGCCGCTTGGAGGAGCAGAAGCAGGAGCTCTGCCAGCGCAATGAGGTGGCGTCCTCGGACCGCTGCAAGGCCGCCCTGCTGGAGCTGTCGGACGAGCTGGATGACCGGATCGGCGAGGGGGTCTACTCAGTGCCCGGGGGCTACCAGCGCTTCCTGGACGACCGGCAGCGCATGGTGGACAGATACTGGCAGGTGCCGGGGAAGGGGGTAAAGGTAGGAGAGGGCTGGTGCCCGGCTGTGTGTGTCTTTGTGCCCCCTCATTGTGCAGCCCGGGAAGCCCTGCTGAGAACCAGGCACCTGGGCAGTTCCTGGATCCTCCCCAGAGCGGGGGCAGCATCAGGGTGTGAGCCGACCCCACCCTCACAGCCCTCCTGACTGCCAACGTCCTGGGGTGTCTGGTTCCCATGGCCCCTCCAGCCCTCGGCCGCTCTGCTGGGGCTGCTGGGGGGGGCCCGGTTAGTGCCTGGGTGATGAGGCCGTTTGTCCTGTTAAAAACCGGGTTCAGCCCCTAGCTCATCCGGAACAGGCGCCGAGGGTGTCGAGTGGAAACCAAATGCTGACTCTGGGGCTGGATGGGAACTGGCGCCCCCTAGAGGGGAAAGGCCCTGCGTCCCAGCACCCACCCCCCTCCAAGCCAGCCAGTCCCGTTACTCTCCGGTGCCACGATCCAGAATCCCGACCCGGCTCCGGCTCCATGCGACAAACCCCTCTGACCCGGTGGCTCCCACTCTCCATCCCCAGGCCGAGGAGGTGCTGCAGGAGTTCCTCCAGTCCAAGGCGGCTGTGGCCCAGTCCATCCTGCAGACGGACGAGGCCCTGACGGAGAAGGAGAAGGAGATGGCAGGTATCACTGGGGGGACATCACACCGCTGGGGCGGGGGAGAAGGTACCTGGGCTGCAGCCCTGGTGGGCAGAGTCACCATGGCCCTCCCCATGCTGACCCACCTCTCTCTCCCCGTGCCAGCCGAGCGAGCCCGGGCCGAGGCGGCCGAGCGGGAGCAGCAGGTCCTGAAGCAGAAGGAGGCTGAGTTGCAGCAGAAGCTGGAGGACCAGGACCGCAGCTACCAGGAGAACCTGCGGCAGCTGGAGACGAAGCTGAAGGACGAGAGGAAGAAGCTGCTGGAGGAGCAGGGCAAGATGATGGATCAGAAACTGAAGGTACCAGGGGGGCCGCGGGTGCTTGGCGCTGCGGGGGATGGATGGGCAGACCTGCTGCGGTCAACCCTGGCCCTGTGCTTTGGGGGGCCCCCTCGCTTCAGGGGGATGTGGGGCCTGGGTGACGCAGGGGCTGGTGGCAGCTCTGCTCTGCCCCATTTGGACGGCTCCCGGCATTAATTGGGAGAGGAGGGGGCAGGGCAGAATGGGGGCAGGGAGGGGGCTGGAAGAGGTGGGGTGGGGCTTGGGA